AATTTCACAATATAGAATAAAAAAAGCACCTAGGTATGTGGCATTTTCCCCATGATCCAATATGCCACAAATGGCGCCTGAGGCATTCAACTTTTACAAAAGAGAAATATAATTACAGCGTCAGTTTAGCATAAAACCATTTACAATATAATGTGATAAAAAATATATTATTATCCAATAATGATTTAAATTCGGCAACTTATCTTGTTTGCGCACGACCTTTTCTGAAAATAAGACAAGCGGGTGCAATACTGTAATTTAATATTATTACACGGCATCTTTAACAAGAAAGGCTTGACCAGAACAGTGAACAAAACCCAGTCAGTGTCAATTTAGTTGCGTATTGTTACAAGTGGTTGTAGCGTTGTAATACTAATAACTGATAAAAATCAGACTTTAGTGGAGTTCCGTTTTGGCACAATTTTTGAAATAGATTAGTTTTTGGAAGACATGGGAAATACGTATAAATAAGACGTTCGACATTGTCAACAGAATTAGTAAACTTCAAATATGGCCACAGGAAAATTTCGATACGCGCTGTTTATAATCGCTGTTCTGGAAGTGGTGAACGCAGATGATGGTAAAAGGCTTTGCACAATCAGTGAAACGTATGTCTGCGAATGTGAACCCGCTGCAGGTAATGGAAATATGACATGGATCGTAAACTGTGCCGATCAGAAGATCGAAGGAGCGGTCAAACCGATTAATCCGTACCCGTTCGATGTGTCAATCTTGAAGCTGGACAATAACAATCTGAAAACAGTTCCAGCTAATACATTCGATGGTTTGCCGATGCTATGGTCATTGAGACTCAATGAAAATCAAATTGAAACGATAGCGGATGATGCATTTGTCGGGCTTGAAGATCTTTTGCGCTACCTCAATATCGGGCACAACAAACTTACGGAATTCCCTCGGGGGATTTCTAAACTGTACGGCCTGACGCATCTTCATCTTCGTGATAATCAGATAGCATTCATACCCGATGGTGCTCTGGACAAACTAATTCACCTGGAAAAAGTTTATTTCAGCGATAATCTGCTCACATCATTGATTATCCCTAGCACTCTGACAGAGTTGAATTTTTTCGACGCAACTGATAACCTGATTGAAGATGTTACCATTGACTCTGGTCTACAAAAACTAACCAACGTTCAATTGGCGCATAATAAACTAACCGTGAAAATCTTTTTCACCAGAACCTTCACAAATATTCTGAAAAATATGGAGACCTTGAATCTGAACTATAACAATTGGTATTGCGTGTGTAACTCGTTTCTAGATTGGCTAATGATGAGGGGATTTCATGAGGCGTGCTTGCTTCCGACTATTGTCCGGGGGCAGTCTGTTGCGCAGTATCACTCGGAAAACTGCCCTCCTTTACCGACCACTACAAGAGATCCTTATGATGACATCAAATTCGATACAACGCCCTACAATTGGCAACCGGACTCTTCAAGAACAAAACAACCTATCTATCGTACAACAAACGATCGTTTTAAACCCGAAACGAGCAAATCAAGTCGCACCACAGTCTGGAATTGGGAACATAAGCCAACAGAAAAAGATCAGCCGGATCATCGCACTACGACAGTCGATCGATGGGAACCCATCCCAACAAAGACAGAACAAGCAGATCATAGCGAAGACCCGTCTTCTCACCCTAAACTCGAATTAGACGCCTACAATGATGACGAGAAACTGTTACTCACGTGGACAGTGGTGCCCGTGACACCACACACGAAACTGTTCGTCCTACAGATCCAAAACCACACAAATGTCGTAAAAACGGAAATTTTGGAACAATACTCCGTAGAATACGTTATATCTGACTTGGATTTAAACATGAATGGTGATTATGAAGTTTGCGTTCTGCTCATGGACCAGTCTCTGCCACTTTTAGGGTGCAAGAAGGTCAAGGTCCCAGATCTACCGGATTACAGCGCCCTTCATAATGGCGAGTCGGGCTCTGTGAATAGTACTGTTGTTGTATTGGTAATTGTGGTGGCTGCTCTTATGCTACTCATGGTATTGGGCGCCGTGTTCATTTTGTGGAAGGGCCATCGGAGCAAGCACGACGCCGACCGCCAAAAGGTACTTGGTGAGGACGCCATCTACCAGGCAGATGGTGCTGAGGCGGATACGGAGACCAATCCGATATATGAGACTAGTGAAGGCATGTATGGGTCTGCTGACCCCAAGTAACTTATGGATGATTAGATAGCCTTGTGCAAAATCAATTTAGTGAAACATTTTGGCACGGAATGCTTTCCGTGTCACCCTAGTCATCAATATAGTTACAGGAACTTGTACTTTAAGGCGAAGCTAAATTAAATAAAAAGTACAAAAAATGACTGCCATATTTTTTTGATGAAGACACATGTTTTTAAAATCTGTTTACCTTGTATATGAATTGTATATCTTGACTAATGAAACATCTCAAAGTTAACATCACACATAAACGCAGTTTTTCAAACTATGAATTGGAGGTGTATGGATCCCCAAAGCTAGCATGAAGAGTGCGAAGTGAGGCTAATTTTTGAAAGTTTCAAAGAGTAGCCTTGCAACAGTCACACATTTGCAAGAATCTAAAATTTCCACAAATCATCTTACCTTTCCCAGGAACAACGAAGGAGCATGAAAATGTGCACTCCCTGTATTGTTAGAGTATAATAAAGCTCAAACCATTGTAAATTTAAATATTTCATGTCTACCATTTTGTTTGCCGGAACTACTTCTAGACTTCCTGATTAATTCTCATACAAGTTTTGTGACTACACCAAGTGGCATGGATTATCACTTGTATATTTTATCTATTACAGTATAATTATCATGATAGATACATGATAGAGGCTTTATGAATGAGAAACAATGGATACATGAATGAGGATAACTCTGGACTAAAAAATAGTTCCAGGAAACAAAATGGTGGACATGAAATATTTAGAATTCACAATGGTTTGAGCTTTATTATACTCTGACAATGCAAGAAGTACACATTTTCATGCTCCTTCGTTGTTCCTTGGTAAGGTAAGATTATATCTGGAAATTTTGAATTCTTGCAAATGTGTGACTGTTGCAAGGCTACTCCTTGAAACTTTGAAAAAATAGCCTCACTTCACACTCTTCATGCTAGCTTTTGGGAGCCATGCACCTCCAATTCATAGTTATGAAAAATGCGTTTAAATGTGAGGTTTTCTTTTATGAATCTCTTTAGTCAGGAAATGCATTCACATACAGGGAAAACAGTATACAAAATCTTCTGACTTTATCAAAAAAATATGTCTCCCATGTTTTTGTACTTTTGATTAAATTAAATGTCACCTTAAGGAACATGGACAAGACAAAACGTTTTAAATATTTTACCTAAAGTTGACATAAATCAGACAAAATAACCTGATTTTATATTTTACTTTGATTTTACATACGCTAAAAGTCGCATATATTATACTTCGAGCCTATGGTCATTTTTTCACAAAAAGCCGTGATTGGTCTTTGATTTTATCCACATGTGTCTATTTGATACCTTATGCCTCGGTCATGTATTCAATTTTGAACAAAATACTCAATCGGCCGGGCGCCGTAGTGAAAATCGGAGCAAATGTGACCAAGGCATTATAGAAAAGGATTTATCAAAAAGGTTGTGCTATTCATTTTTAGCGACGCAGTATGCATTACACTTCTCTGGAAAACTGTGAGATGGAAAAATGTAAAATAGTCCGGCTCACTGTTCCACAACTGGATGACTCTAACTGCAGTTAGGTTCATTCAAGATGTTTGCCGAGATTCTTTCGTTTTCGATAAACCTCCAATTTCAGCTAAAATAAGTTGAATCTGGATTCCAAATGTTTCGCCATGCAAATTAATAAAGCTACGATGGTAAATAACCACAAATAAATGCTCAAACAACCGCGATATTGGAGAATTTTAAAGAAAACGGCTTCACTTAGAATGACTCTAACTGAAGTTGATGATGACGTCATGATGGCGTAGATCATCAACTTCAGTTAGAGTCATTCTAAGTGAAGTCGTTTTCTTTAAAATTCTCTAATATTATGGGTGTTAGAGCATTCATTTGTGGTTGAATACAATCATAGTTTTATTAATTTGCATGGCGAAACTTTTGGAATCAAGATTCAACTTAGTTTAGCTGAAATCGGAGGTTTATCGAAAACGAAAGAATCTCGGCAACCATCTTGAATGAAGCTAACTGCAGTTAGAGTCATCCAGTTGTGGAACAGTGCGGCTGTAGTTTGTAGACGTAGACCCCGAAGGCCGACGTCGGTTTCAAAAACAATGGATAATAATGTCATTTTTGGCGAGGATATCAAATCAACTGTTCTCACAAAAAATGAATAACATCTTAAAGTACATATTAAAGTATCTAATAAAACATAAATAAAGGTCAGTGGGACAAACGTGCTAGTATGATCTGATGTCAAACTTCTCTCAAATCTTCAATTTATTTTGACAACTATTCTCTTTGATTTACATTCGTTTTATGTCTTAACTTTTCTTCGGGTAAACAATTGATCTAATTCTGAAATAATCACACTCGTTTCGACAATAATCATAACTGATTTATTATGCATTGAATTGAATATATTGTCCACTTCAAATGTTTGATATAAATTTAAAACACATTTAATTTTCACTATTGAAATATATAAGCAATCGACCCACATGACAATGTAGACCTAGTCGAAAAGATAGGTATCGATATGGCTAACTGAATTCAACAATGTTTTTCTTTTTCTTTTAATCCAATTATTGAAATCATTCTGTAAAAAACACGGTCCTTTATGTAATGTTGACTGATTGACAACAATTAAATACGAAAATTATTTAGAAATATTTTAAATAACTGTTTTTGTTAACATCTTATGTTTTTTAGTGCCATTTTTTGGTCCTTTCTACCAATTCTTGAGAATGAAATAAAATGTCTTTTCGAACCTTGTTGGAACAAAATAGCACATACATTTTCTTAGACCTCTCAACTGGACTGGTTTAAGAGAAACGTGTGTTTAAAAAGTTCACCATATCGCTACCACTCCTTTAGCGAATTGCGAAACTTGGATATGACTCGAAACGTCCTTGTATTTCTTCACTTGGGAATAAGGTCAATTAGGCCTACAATCATATTTCAATTGTTTGAAATATGATAGATTCTTAATTAAAATCAAGAAGCCATGGTGCTATATTTTAAATATTAACTTTTACTCGAAGGCTTCCAATAAGAATATCATTTTTGATGGCATCTACGTGAGCATACGGTCAAATCTCAAGGAATTAATATTGCATGCATTAAAAATAAGAAAGTGTTGCTTTGTGTGAGTCTGGGTGGACATTTTCAAACCACTATAACTCTGTCTATTTAGGCCTATGTAGGAAAGTCTCATACAGCATACGATAATAACGAAATGGCTTTTCTTCATCCTAGGTCAAGCTTATTGTAATTCATAAATCGACGTGCCTTAGTGTTCCGGGCTGAGTTCCGGGCTGAGTTTCGTATCTCAAATTAATCTCAAAAGCATGTGTGTAACAGATTCATTTAATTCTGAAAGATGGCTGGTGATCCCAGATTTCGAATTTTTTGTAATAAGTGAATGTATCAACAGCAGAGGCCCATCGAGATGACGATCCTCCAAAGAACGTGGAAAAATAGATGGCGTTTGTCATGACGCTGGTTGTACCACGGTAGTTGATATCCGTCATAGAGAGAACAAGTCGCCCGTCGACCCATACCCTGGCAATACCGTTTCTGCGTCCAGGAGCGTTCATTCTGAAAAAGTATAGAAAATTAATTTTTACACTACATCATCATTCTCTACTTAAAAATGTATATGCGCATCAATTGATGGAGTGAATATACATAGTCTATATAAGTTTAGAGGCCCCGGGTTTGGAGGTTAAGTTAAACGTATTTGGGAGAACTTAAACATAACGTATTAAGACCCGGGAATTGCTGTCTACCCCTAAAAATGGGAGAAAGGGTCGATGGCAAACACTGACAAAACCCGGGTTTCTAAAACCCGTGCTAGAAACACGTACTGAAATAGTCTCGCAACCAGTGCTATTTACTGAACGAAACGACACGAAAACCCCGGGACAGCGTCCTATCAGAGTATTATGGATACGAAACACGTACTAAAATAGTCTCGCAACCAGTGGTATTTACTGAACGAAACGACACGAAAACCCCGGGACAGCGTCCTATCAGAGTATTTATGGATAGGACCCCCGTATGACCGACCATGCTATCAGTTTGAATCTATCATTAAAAAACTTATGTAACAGGCCAGGACCCTCTACCATTGCCAAAAATGCTTTCAAAACCATGCATTCTAGGTCGGGGAGATTCCCCATAGCCCCAATGTTGAAAAGTCACAAAAATGGAAATATATTTATATCTGCCATACCCATAGGTAGGGATATTTGGACGACATGTGTAGGTCGGTGTAAAGTGCTGTAACACTGTGACTATCCACCTGATGGTCATAAAATAAGATAGGCAGGTAGGAAATTGAGTGATGTACAAATGTCCAAAGTTATTTCTTAAAATGACACATATATTAGGAAAATGGTGTATGGGTTTCCAGTTTTTTGACCACCCTGTTGTATTTCAAATATTAATTAATTTTTTCTGTTTTGAAAATTAGATATTTTATGTATATTTCTTAGTTTTTCAAAGAAATCTATAAATAGTTCATAACATCGTAATTTCGATCACCACCATCACTTTTCGAACGAGTTACATTGAAATATCAAGACGTCATACTGTTCTCAAACTTATAGAACTCAATGTAACTGTCCTTGACCATTTATTAAGCAGTAAAAATTAATTTGCTTCATGGGTGACAAAATGTTTCTACTTTCCTGGTGAATGTCGAGTCTCGCATCATACGAAATGTAATTTTAGGCGATCTGTTTACATGGGGTGAGTTTCTGACCCTATCTTCGAGTGTAAGATACGAATACCACTGAATATTTACAATGTGGATCGTTAATAAAAAGAAAATCAGCTTTGAGATACTGTTTCTTCTTTTTGTAAGTAAGAGGTTGAGATTGTAGATTCAAATGTTTACGTTAACAGTTAAAACCTAGGAATGCAGGTTAAACATAAAACTTTCAAAAATCAGTGACATCTACAGGGTGTCCCAAAAGTATGCCCCCCCCCCTAGGCAAACATATACCAACACAAGACAAAATCGTGTTTAATAACTTGCAATAAACTGCTTATTACCATCTTACTCGGTGCTTAGTTGTCGCTATCCTTGATTATTGATACACTTATTTGGAAGGTTACTTCTGCTTACCCCTAGGTATTGATACACGTATCCGTGGTTTTTAGGCCCGAATACCGAGGTTTATCTTTTTAATTATCGTGTCTTATTCTATTGCATTAACATGTTGTTAACTTTAGAACTACGCGCGTGATATGATAGGCCTACATTCTGACATTTATTTGAATATGCTACATGTGTATGCTTGGTTTTTGGACTGACAACGAGTAGTAAGTATCGATGTGTTTAGCTAAATAGAAGCGTGATAATCCATAAAGCTAGATAAGGACAATTCGTTTAAAAGAAAGCTACACTTTATAAATCTATTAATAAAAATGTAATATTTTAAGAAAAACAGATTTTTAGATTTACCAGACGCCAGCAAGGTGTTGTGGTTTACGATATTAATTGAAATTGCAGATTAAATATTCTTATTTAAAGACGTCTTTATGCAAAAAGTCTGATCTATTTAAGACATCAGTATTCTCAGAAATTGGTTATCCGAAGTGGATACCAAGTTCTGACCAGCAGACGAACAATTGGAGACATAGGTTATGTTTGTTTATTTAACGGTCAGACTTGTTGACTTGCCATCCGTATTTTCAACTTTGTGCGAACACGTTCTGTTTATTATTCCTTTATACTTTCTATTTGCTGAGCAATGACTGATTTGATAGTTTTATTCAAAAATTTTATTGTCCATTTTTTATATTTTTAATAAGTGATGTTTGATAAGTAAAAAATTAAGAAACGGTGTAATTCTTTGTGGTAAATCATAAGATTGATGATGTCGAACCATGAGATAATGAAATGACTGAGGTAAGATATAAGCATTTGTTATGGAAGACATATTATCAATATATCAGGTATATCACATATAAAAATAAATACAGCGTTGTTGCAAATTGAGCAATTGTTTTAATAATATAATAAACGGGGCCGTTGGAAGAAACATTACAACATATTGATATTGAGCGTCATGTGTTGTTTGAACTGTCTTGTCGCTCATAATTACATCAGCCAGTTGTCCATAATCTGGCGTTTCTCAGTCTGGTATCTTTACTGATTTTAGGAATGGTTGCAAAACGGCAAGATTTCCCATGTTATGTCCTTTTAATGGCCATTTTGTATATGCCTTTTATTTCCACACCATGTTTTGATTTTGCCTTGATGCTATTGTGTCATAGTGTTTTTGCTTTAAAAAAGCAAGAAATATCAACTTTTTAATTAAGAAATGTTGGTTAATCTCTTGTTGTAAATCACATTGTTGATGATGTTAACGGACCATGAGATAACATATTGTCAGGGGAAAGATAAAATATAATAATGTAAAATAAATATCATAGATATTAATTGTTTGCACTGAAGTAATGTGACTATTCTAGCGAATCAGGTAGATATTTCTACGGTTTTCCAGTTTTTCCGTAATGAAAGCATTTATTTTTCGTTTCCATTAATTTGACTAGTAGGGTCGTTGATAAACACATTAAAACTGTAAAAGTATTTATTGGAAGTACTTGTTTTAACTGTCTTGTCGCCTCTCTTTTTGACTCTCAAATGGCATAGCCGTAGCCAGGGGGGGGGGGGGGGGTGCGATGCATAACCAATAAAATTGAACCATGAAATAGAAGAAGAGAAAGAAGCTTCTAGCTCAATTTTGAAGGAAGTTGCATCTTTTTGCCTGCTTTTGCCACGATTGCACCCCTCTCCCGACTGAAAACCGAGATTGTTTTTCTTGGCGATCGTACCCCCCCCCCTGACTGAAAGTTGGCTATGCCCCTGAACATGGATAATAGGGGCACTATTACCCTGCGTACAGAGTCTAGTTATAAACTATAAGAAGACGCAACTCTCTTTTTCATACACATGCCTGCATAACAATCGGAGACAGAAGTTTTAAAATTGTCCAACAAAAATAATAAGAATCTAACATTTAATGATAACAAAAGGATTAATTGCTATATAGTCTTTGTTTTTTAACTGCGGACGTGTACCAACATCACCTTGATTACAGAAAAGATTATCTAACAGTCTAGAATTGCTCCTGGGTTTTAATTACAGTTTATGAATAGAGTTATTTTTGCCTCTATTCTCATTTTTAAACCGGTCTCTGTTTGCTTATCCATTATTTGTGATAAATTATTTCAGTTAGAGTCGAAATCAAACACCAAATAAACCGGATTAAAATAAGCCAGTCTGATTGCTAATTTGCAAATCCTGTAAAAGTAACTTAAAGCCGCCTTTTAATTAGAGAAAACAATAAGCTTATCCATCTGATTAAGAAGAAATCAATGCTATTAGATTTGTGCATTATCTTCAAGCAAGCCAGTAAGACAATCAACGATCTGGCGTTTTGTCTAATCCCCGCCAGTTTAAATTCAATATTGACCAATGCATGACTTAATATTTTCATTCTACAAACATTGCAGTGTTTTAATGATTGTATAAACCACATTGTTACCATCCCCGATGCACCATCAGGCCTGTCTCTCTGCGCAAAATAAAGCATTCCGACCCAAAGTTGTATATCTGTAATTTGGGGGAGGGGGGCGACGTTCATGTAGAAATATACAATAATTATGTCCGTGTAAAAGCTTAAATTATAAAAAATCTAATTTCAAAGTCATTCTATTCATGGAAGCGTCAAGTTAGGAAAAACAATGCTAAACACTAAAATAAACAAATCGACTAGATTACTTTTGAAAACTTCCTGAGAGGAAATGGACAAATGTATTTTGCTAACTCATTAGAACGTCTGTCTGATTGAAATACTATTTTTCTAATTACAATATAAATGAATAAATCTTGGTTGCAAAATAATGCTGAGCCTAATAAAAAATTCAAATACTTTCTTTTGCAAATTCCTGAAGAAACTAAAGGATTACAGGTTTGGTTAGAATAAACTGCTTAAATTGTACATTTTAAAACTATAAGTGTGATTTGAAACCCGGGATTTGAAACAAGTTTGTATTGAAGGTCTGTTACAGAGGGGGCATACAATGTCCCATTTACTCACCCCTCATCTCCCGTACCCGATCTTATTTATGTCTCCAGTTTGTTTCTTGTATATTAATATTTGAAATCAAGTCATTAAGAATGCCAGGGGCCAGTTTGGGGGTTTGATTCTAGTTATTTTCCTTTAGTCATCGTCTGACTTATTTGAAAATATGGAAATTCGGAAGATACCAAT